TGCACGAGGTGTTAAATGTGCTGCTCTCTTGAGGAACCCAGGCGGCTGGGACCAGCCAGGGGCTGGCAGACGGCGGTGGTTGAGGTTACCTCCGCCCTGTGTTCTGCTGCCTCCGCGGTGAGGGCGCTGCCCTCCAGCAAGGGATGGAGCTGGTGCTGGGAGCAGCCGCTGGGCCCGGCGAGCCTGCAGCGTGCTGAAGTTGGAGTCTTTATCCTAAGCACAGCTCAATGCAAGCACAGCCATGCCACCCTGGCCTGGGGCCAGCATAGCTTTGATGGTGGGCAGGGGAACCTGGGTCTTTCTGACTTATATGGAAGTGGCTATTGCTGTCGGAGGGAGCTCTTTTCTGTCATCCAGGATTTTCCTGTCTTTAAATCTGTATTGAAATTACTACTGTGCTTCCAGCTAAGCAGGTTTCAGAATTGCTTGCTCACATAAGAAAACACCTGTGGTCTTCGATGTGTGGTGTGTAAATTGTGGCATTACTGACTTTTCTTGTGCCAAGCTTGTTTTATTCCTATTTCTTCTCACAACCTTTAACCTCAATAGAGATTTTTATTTGCTGGCAGTGACTTGTATGCTTTCACTCTGTCATTGTCGTTAAGCATACAGTGATGGTTGTCAGCTTAAATTCATAATTGGGATTCTCCTGTACACTGAAATACAGTGCTATGGCTGAGTCTTATAGCTACTTCAGCAGATGCAGTTTTACAGCTAGGTGTGGTCTGTTGGTGCCGACGGAAGTGAACTTTGTGGCACCGTTTAATTCTTGGCACATCCATCATCTACAGTAGACAGAGACCTATCTTGTTGCCCCAGGAACAGCAGGCTGAGACCTCAGCTGTGTGGAGCTATTTCTCCCTTAGGAAGAGGAGGTGAATAGGAGAGAAGGGACTGGGGCCAGAGAATTGTGAGGCCATTGTCTTCTCTGCACATGCCCAGAGCCAGCCCTAGGCACAGACGTTAAGACTAAGAGCTTATGTCATTTATCATCCTCAAACACGCTTCAGCTACCCTGGTTATGAGCAGTGATGGCTGCAAACATAGGTCAGCCCCATCGCTTCCTGAAGGTCACTGGTTGTTGGATGTTGGCAGGCTAGATCTATAAGCTGATTCATATTCATTCAGTTAAAATTTATTTCTTTTTTTATAGATTCCTCCCCCCATATCACATCTTACTATATAATGTCATTTTGGAATATTTAGATGTATTTGCAGTTTCTAAGTGTTGAAGTAGTGCATTAATGCTCCTGCTGCTTTTCAGACTCCTTCACAGAGGGTCTTTGAAATGTATCTGCTTAGATAGCTGTTGCTAAATGTGTTAAGTGTTGAGACTCTGACCAAAAATGATCTAGTAAGTGAATGCCTGTTGCTGGAGAGTGATGAAATACTTCATAACTTGAAGTGGTTATGAAAGCTCATAGACGAGTAGAGAAAGAACAATTTTAGGAATTTACTGCAACAAAATTAAGCTTATAACATATTTCACCAAAGAGTCTACTGAAGCATCCTGTGATGATGATAAAACTGACTTTTCCTGGGAAACATTTAAGCTGTCTCTCATTTAGCATTCCAGTGTTGTTTGCCATCCCTTTTAGCCTTTTCCCTCAACAACATGTTAGTATTGTTTTGGAAAGAGGAAGAAACACCTGGGAAAAAGAGGGCGTACAGAGGTTGTCTGGGGCTAGGCAGGAAGATGAAAGTGATCCAATGTTAAGTCATGTCAAAAAAAAAAAAGGGGGGGTGATGGTGGGGGAATGAGCAGTGCAGACACACGGCTTTTAGTGGTGGTAGCAGACTAAGGTTTTCTTGTCTTGCGTTAAAGAAACAAGAAAACATGTGCTTTTGACAGGGACTGAGATTAAATGTTGAAAGATGCTTGCATAAAATACTGATTTTTTTTTTTTTTTCCCCCTACAATGGTAATCTTAATTCTGTGGAAAAATGGTGTATTTTCAATATTGGTGTATTGTGGAATAGTTTACATATATTGTACAAAAAGAAAATATATCAGTAAGGTTGTTGAACTGCATTTGGAAGAATGCCTGTTTAAAAACTACATATTTCCTTTTCCCAGATTGCTCCCTTTGTATACGCAAGTTTTTGTCCTATAAAACTCAGTGTCCAACATGCTGTGTGGTAAGTGTTTTTCTTTTCCTCAGCTTGTTTTTTGTTTGTTTTTTTGGCAAATCTCAGGACCTTTTCCCTTTGAACTATGCTAAATAATTAATTCTGGTCATATATTACCACCTTTCCTTTTGGTCAGCGGCTCTTTGGGCAAAGTGTGGTGCTCTTGCAACTGGAGTTCTGTTTCAGGGCTACTCTTCTGTCAGCATAGGCAGAAGTAGATGGAGAATCAAACCTGGGTTTTGGTTCAGAGCTGCGTATCCAGTCTGTCGCAAAACACTTAACATTTGTTAAAATACACCATCACCTCAAATGTGAGTGCTGAAATTTAAGCACTTAAATTTTCTGTGATTGAGTGGCCTCACTTCATCTTTCAAGGAGTCTGTAGAAGTTTCCCCAGACCATTTAGACTTAAAACTCACTGACTCTACCAGGTAGCCTTTTGGGGGATGAGAGGGCCACATTATGCACCAGGGAGAGGAGGCATTTGCCATGAGAATTAGGTTAAATGTGAAAAGCATTGTGGCAGGTTTGGCCTGCTTTGCAGGTGGGTGATTATTATGATCTGACTGAAGGCCTTTTTTAAAGAACACAGAATGCAATTTATTCTAGGCCTTAATCTAAGTTTTCATCTGGAGCCAACTGGGCTTTATTGAACTCCTAAAAATGGTAGGCTGCCTAAAAACAATGGATGGTGCTTCAGGAATACTGGCAAAATAGAAGTAGTTTTCTTCCGTGTTTCTAAATCATGAACCAGCATAGACTTTTTCAAGACTGAAAAACAGATCTATTTGTAGCTTTGCCAGTTTTTAAATGCTCAAATAAGTGTAGATACTTGATGTACATTTCTGGGGAGTACATTTTACTACTGCCTTCTTAAAAATCACAAGTATTGACATGAGCAAGACTAATAAAAGCTTTGTAAAAAAAGGGTGTAAGAGACAGCGAGCCAGAGAGATAAAAACCAGAAATTGTTTAAAAAAATGAATTGAATGCACAAAGCCATCTCATAATTCATATTTTCATTCCATAATCACTCAAAAGATTAACATTTCCCTTCATCAGTTTTCATTCGTTGTTGCTTAAGGTTCTTATCATATTCATGGGATCCTTGGCTGGGTTTTCAAAATAATTAGAACCAGGCTACAGTAAAGCATTGTTGGAGACTGGGTACATAGGATTTTGTTGCTTTAGCTTTATGCTTCATTTTTATCTATTACCTGTCATTTCCTAGACTTACAGTTCTCAGGCAGTTATTTTCGTTTAGGATATATTTCAGGAAAAAATGTTTATACTTCATGCATCTTCATTCATATAGCAGTTCCGTGGGGGGTGGTTGAAGCATAGATCCAAGAAACAAATTACTGATCACTTGAACATTTTCTAGGTACTTGTTTTCACTGCATTTGAATGTTGTGGGTTTTTTTCCTTTTCTTTCTTTCTTTTTTTAATAGGCAGTCTCGGAATCTGACCTGAAAAATAACCGGACACTAGATGAACTAGTAAAGAGCTTTAATTCTGCAAGGTACACTGCAACTTTATGAATGCTATCTCTGGTTTGGCAGCTAGAAAGGCAGATGTGGCTTATTTTGTGTGACCAGGGCAGAAGTCCTTGTAGAGGAGCAGTGCGAGGACTAAGTGAACAAATTGCGGTGTCACAGAAATGTCAAAGATGAATGTTTACTCTTTTGGAAAAATCGTACAATTTTCTGGCTGAAGGTTACTGTCCACTCAGGTGATGTGTTGGTTGTGTAAGCTTATTATGGTTTTGCTTGTGGTTAGCTGCTGTGTAAGTTAGTCTCTCCTGACATGTAGGAAGTCAAGCAGATGTGTCAGGACTCTACAGGGAAAGTAATGGTAATAAAGATTTGCTTCCAAGGTCCTTCCTATGTGTGCAGGGGAAATTCTGAACAGAAAGATTTTGTTCGGTGGTAATAGTCAACTTACAAGAGAATTCTCTTGGTGAAGTCACTGGATGGGAAAAATGTAGGTATTGAGGGACAACAAATGGGAGTTTTCCTGGATACGGAAAGTAATGGAGTATTGTGCTTTCACCTGGTTTTCTTATCTACTTTTCTGTTTGTTTTTAATTCATTTTTGATCTCCTCATCCCTTTGAAAGACAGGAACAACAGGATAAGCATAACTTGGTAAATGCTTACCACTGCAGATACATGAGATTTCTTGTATTATCTCTGTTTTCTTTTGGCTAGAAGCAGCTCTGTGACTTGCTAGGTATTCTGTAGGTGTTTATATGTCTATGGGAGACAAATATCTTTTTCTCTGAAATGAACTTGAAACTTGAAGTCAATGAGATTCTTGGCTTCGTGATAGGAAACACTTCAGTTTATTGCTTTGTTTCTTGAGAGAGTTTCTCTGTGATGAAGATCTAATCTTCTGTATGACCACTATTAGATTGAATTGATTTTATTTGAAGAATTGAAATGCTACAGTTCCATTATTTTAGCTTGAACTCTGTCTTTGGTGTTTCCTAGTGATAAATGGTTTACTTTTTTTTTTTTTAATTTTATAGGGAACAACTGGTGCTGACTTGGATCCATTACGATATTGAATCTTAAACGTTAATTTTTTTTGACTGCTTTAATGGATCCGTATAAATCTTACCGGTCAGAGTAGTTTAATAATCTTTCCTTTTGTGACTTGGAGTTCAATCAATTTCTGAATATAAAGCTAGATCAATAAGACAAAAACAGTTCTGCTGTCAGGTTGGGGGTGAGGTGGGAGAGAGCCGGCCCAAGCTTCTTTATGGATCTTGTTAAGAAATGCCCAACAACAAATGGCTTACTAAGGTAACTGCTTTAATAAGGCAGAGTAATGAGAGGAATATACATAGCGAGTAAATCTTGTGTCACTTCAGATGCTGGGCACTCCGCGTTCGTGCTTCTCTTGGCCTGGGATTGCATTTACTCTGCAGATGGCCTCGAGTTCGAGGGGGTCACTACTTGCCTGGAGAGTGTTATGTGATAGGAGTATCATTAAAGCATAAGAGCATTGTTGGCTTCTGCCCTAGCGATGTTCGTACAGGACAAATCTTCCGTCTCTCCTCCTCCATCCCCAACTCCTTTCTTTCATTTTGTCCCTCCCCAAAACAAATCCAAAGTCCAGGCGTTGATTTTTGAAACGTGCTAAGCTCTTCAAGTCCACCCTGACTTGACTTTGAGCCTCAGGTAGTTTAGCGTTTATGAAAATTAGGCCTTAAATCTTTTCAGTATTTCACAAAATTCAAACACATTTCTTAAGTCAGGCCTATAGGGACAGAAAATGTTAATGTTGGTAGTACTTAACAAAGTAAAAGCTGTGCTCCAAGGTCAGTGTGTGCATGGAATGGAAATCATTCTAAATAGACCTGCGTGCTGATCCCATTTATTCTTGTGCTCAACATTTAGCTCATGCACAAGTGTTTGCAGAATTAGAGCCTTCACGTTCATTTGTGCTCAGTGAGTGTTGTCTGGGGAGTCCTGCTTCCTCCCAGGTTTCCCAGGAAAAATGAAGATGTGTTGTTCATTATGTCCCATTAACATTATATTCTGTTTGAAAGGGTAGAGGAGCGGTTTTGAATAGAGTTTAAGAGGTCTGAATTCACACTGCCCTGCCCTTGGGTTCAGGTGCACACGAAGATGCCGAGCAGTGAAGGAGTTCAGGGAGTGCGTTGCTCTGACGAATTCCACCCGTAGGCTCCTGTCAGGGCGAGAGCAGCCTTTGCTCAGCTTTTTTCCTTGCTGCTTGTGCTGTGCCTTGCAGAAAGAATTTATCACTACCAGGTCAGGAGAGCAAGACAGGGAGTGCTTTTTGTGCCATCTTTATGAACAATATTTTTGTCGGTTGCAGTGAGGCCAGTGTCTTAAAAAATAATAAGTATAAAGTTTTAGGGTTGCTTTCAAATTGTAATTTCATTGTCCTCTAATAAAGAGATTATTTTGATGAAAATTGTCCCTTTATGCATTACCTAATTAGAAAATTTAGCAATAGAAATTAGAATTATACTTGCATAAGTAGAAAACTAGTCCTTGCTGAAAATGATCTGTGCTTTTTTTCATACGTAGGGAAGAAAAATATATTTTTACTTTCACGTTTATAACTTAGTTTCTTCATCAGGGTTACCTGACAGCTAGTGAGTCAGAGGAATAGACACATTCACTCTGAGTGCTTGAGAGAAATGGCAGTACCTGATCTAATACACTGATGAAACTCCAGAAGGACTGGATGCAGAAGGAATTTCAAGGAGAGAAATTGTCCTTTAGTACAGTTAGGACTGTCCTGTGTAGGCTGTTCCTAGGAAGATTCACAACCCCATCTCTTCCCCAGAATTTATTTATGTGGAAGCACTAGGTTCCTACCTACTTTCTCTGCTCCATAGCTGCTTTGTCAAGGGAGAAGTGGATGGACTGCAAAATGGGAACCAGGACCTCGATGAGGGAGGACCCTGGAAGTTTTTTTGTGGATCTTGCAGATCTGAAGAAAAGAAAATTTCACAAGGTGTTTATACTGTTATTAAAGCATGCCTGGCAGAGAGAGTTAAACTTCAGTGAAACTAAAAGCGGAACTCCCTGTCCTAACCCAAGCCACTGATTAAAGAGAATGGGTCAAAGGAGGATTTGGGTAGTGGTTACAACAGTGCATGTTAGGACTCACTAACTTCTTGTCGATTCATCTTTCAGCCTTTAAAGGGTGCTGCTTGTGCACTTCCACTGGGGTTTGTCAGCTGCGATGCATTTACTGCTTTTGTGCCAGGAAGGCAAAATTGTGTCTGCTAAAACCTTTCAGAGCTGATAGCAGTCTGTGTTAAATTCTTGAGGGCATATAATAGACAATGTTGAAAACTGCATACAAAACACAGAGCTTTTTAAAAATAGTGTTGTCTGAGGTTTTCCAGTGGAATCGGTTTCTAGGTGAGCCGGACAATCTGGTCATGGTGGGAGTGGACTTCTCTGTTACCGGCAGGCTTTCTCCTGACTCTGCTGTCGCTGAATGACAGATGAATCTTCCCGGATAGTCATGCTTGTCCAAAGCACTACAATAACAACTGTCAGAATTCCTGTGAATAATGAGAAATTTGAATAATTCACTTTCATGTTGAGGGAGGGAAGTGGCAGTTGATAAAGGTACTGTCAGATAGACCAGGGCTGTGCGAGGAGGGCTTGCAGTGCTCCAGCTCTTCCATCTGTGGCACGTCTGGGTGTGGGGTGCCAGTTGGTGGGGCTCCAGGGTGTGGAGTGCCTGGGTGTGGGGTGCCAGTTGGTGGGGCACCACGGTTTGGGGTGCCTGGGTGTGAGGTGCTGGTTGGTGGGGCACCACGGTTTGGGGTGCCTGGGTGTGAGGTGCCGGTTGGTGGGGCACCACGGTTTGGGGTGCCTGGGTGTGGGGTGCCAGTTGGTGGGGCATCTGGGTATGAGGTGCTGGTTGCTGGGGTGTCTGGGTTTGGGGCATCAGGGTTTGGGGTGCTGGTTGGTGGGGCATCAGGGTTTGGGGTGCCTGGGTGTGGGGTGCCGGTTGGTGGGGCTCCAGGGTGTGGAGTGCTGGTTGCTGGGGTGCCTGGGTGTGGAGTGCCTGGGTGTGGGGTGCTGGTTGGTGGGGCATCAGGGTTTGGGGTGCCTGGGTGTGGGGTGCCGGTTGGTGGGGCGCAGGTCTGGCAGGGCCACTAGATGTCGTCACACAGCCAGTGAAGCTGCTCAGCAGTCCCAAAATACTGCGTTCTGGGAAAAGCCAGTCTGGGACTTTTTTCTTCTCTTTTGAATTTAGTAATAATATTTTCTGTATTTTCCCACCAAAAAAAAAAAGGGCATACAGAGGTTTCATGTGTGTTTTGGCAAACAAGTTTTCATATTCTCATCCTGGTGTTCTTTCCATTGATTCTGTGCCAAAATCAGATCCCTTCGGGAAGTCTACTCATAAGTCTTTATCCTTCAATACGAGGAAAAACTCTGTATGATTATTTGTAGACCAATGGTGTAATTAAAACAAACTTTATTATCAATTTAGTGTTAAGATAGGTTTAGGTTTTTGTATTGTTTTTCCAGTTTCTTTCTCTCTCTCTCTCTCTCTCTCTCTCTGTTTTATACCAGACCATATTTTATTGACACAGTCTTATTCCAGAATCTGAAATTTCTGTTCAGAAGATTTCTCTATTCTGTCTGCCTTCATGCAAATATTAACAAGTTGCCTTTGAAGTGAGATGGTCTCTTATTCGGGTAGTCTGTCTTGTCAGCTCTGGAGCAGCTCTGCTGAGTTCAGAAGTTTATCTTTTCATACAGGACTCATTGCAAAAATGCTGAGCTTTGCATTCTGAGCCTTTTGCTCTGTGTCTGCTGCCTGCTTCTGCTGGGCATGGAGCTGCCTTCCTCCCTCCAGCTCTGCCTTCAGCCTTTATGGGATTGCTCAACTGCCCCTTGATGGGTTTGCAGTCTCTCAGGCCCAGGCTCGCCTTCAAAGATGCATTTTGGCCTGCTAGCCTTCCTGACAGACAAATCGGGCTACTGAACTCTCTGCTTCGGAGAATTCAAGGTACTATAAGCTGTACTATTGTGATACTTCCTGAGAAAGAAATGTTGAGAAAAAGACATACAAATCATTCTGATGAAAAGATAAATGGATATGAAGTTTGACTTTGAGGAGTGTTGTCAGCTAGTGTGAATACATTGGAGAAAAGCATTTTAGCTAGTGAATACGTGTGGTGGAAAAATAAACAGATCTAATTGGTGGTTACAAGTAGTAGAAGGTGTTACTTTGACAAGAGGAGATGGTCTCAAAAGCAATTGAGAATACACTGAAAAGATGAGGGAGAACAGTTGCATTCTCTAGATGAAGACAATGAATACAGGCAACTGGCTAATTGTTCAGATATTTTTGGCTGCATCATTCTTTATGAGAAAACTCAACTGACAGGATGCCAAATAATTGCATTTATGGATTTGTCTTATGTTTTCTGAGCCATGCAGAATTTAGCTTGCTGTAGCGTAGGATGCTGGGCTTTTGTGTAAAAATGGTTGCTTAACAGCCAAAAGAATAATATGATAAGACTGTAAGTTGACTTTGATTAATTACTTTAATGGTAGGCTGCCTGTATGAAAACCTGAGGGAGCCTCAAGAAATAAACTTTTTTTTTTTTACATAACCAAAAGATAAATTCTGTGCTCAAAAAGGGGAAAAAATATTTCTTTAAAAGTACATCTTTGGTACAACACCCAACTGCATCCTTCTGAGGGTTAAACTTTTCCTTAAGTGTATTAGGAATAAAAGGCAACTAATCTGTTTGCTGTTGAACCTGATGTTGAATATAACCATCTGTGACGTGACAAGTTTTCTGAGGCTATAGTTTGTTACCTTTAAGTTGAAGAATACTATGCATTTATCTGCAGTAAAATTAGATACTCTGCTAATTATTGCTGCTAATGGCCATGTTGAGCAGCAATATGCTGTCAGACCTTTCTGATACTTCTGGATGAAATTTATCCCTTGTAAACAGCGAAGGTGAAGCAGGAGTGGGAGAGGGCTGTGTGAAGGCACTCTGTTCATGTTCCCATTCACTAGCTCCTGAGTTCCCTGTGAAGTTGATCCTATGCCAACAGTAGCTAAACCCCTCTGTGTCTGTGTCAGCTGGGGAATTAACCTCCTTAAAAACTTCCAGTCCATATCTAGGCATAAGCAGACAGAAAAACATAGTTTTGCTGCTACACTTAATTGCACTTGTTTGCACTGCAGAAAGTCAGTGTCTTGGGATAGATGTGAATTGCTGCTGACAGATGTGGTCATTACATCCAGTAATCCAGGAAACTTAAACTTCAAATCAGGCTTCTGAATCTGCTTGAATATGACTAGTGCAGAGCGTTTGGTGTGCTGAGCTGGTGGTTCTGGTTGTTCACCAGGAACCTAACTTAAACTACTATAATTGTGGGGTTACCTGCTGACTTACGTATCTTTTAAAAAAAAGTTGATATATACAGACTCTTCTTAATTAGTTGTCCTTCTTGGCATGAAAAATCTTTATTTTAAAAGACTGAAACTTTTCCAAGTAGTTATCCAATGCTGAACTGTCTTCAGTGCAGCATGGATTGGAGAGATGGAGGCACAGGTGAGGTATACTGTGCCTTTTGGTGTAGGGGCTCTTAGAGTCCTCAGCATCCTCAGAAGCTATGCCTCTTCCCATCCCTCCCTCTTGTGTTACCCTGCTATAAAGTGGAAGGGACATCCTCCCTACCCTACTCAGGAAGTGGGGACGGAGTACCTCTAAGAGCCGAACCCATCTCCTTCATTCGTTGTTAGAGAGATGCCTCATTTCCTTTAAGGTTTTCCATGTTTTGTAAGCTGTCCCAGTTTGTCAGAGCTTGCAGATGGTAAAACTTTTTTTGTAATTGCCTTTTCGTTGGGTAGGACTTCTGAGGATGCAGCAGGCTGGGGCTTGGCAGGTGGTGGCTGTGAGAAGGGCAGCAAGTCGGGGGGAAAGCTAAGGAACACCTGGGCGGCCGTGCAGCTTTGCACTTGTGGAGAGCTCAAGTGAATGGTGTGCAGGTTGCCAAGGGATGATGGAGCAATGAATTCAAGAGGAATAGGTTCACGACTGCTTGTGTACTTCTGCTGGCTGTTTCTGGCTGGATGATATGAAACTTGTGACCCTCGGGATGAGAAGGACTCTGGGCATAGTAGCGGGTAAGAATGGAACACGTGGTTTGCCTGTCGCTGACGTTAGTTGGGAAAGCTTTCCCTCCGCCTGCGATGATGCAGGAGTGAAAGTGAACCACAAGGTATGCCAGCAGTCCAGACAGCTGTGTTGCTATGCCGTCTCCCTGCCAAGAGCACAGTCTTTGGCTTAATTATCTTAGATTGATCTGTATAAAATACATGGTAAAATAAACAGGATCCTGCAAAAAACCCTGGGGTGGGGGTAAGAATAAAACATCTCTCTAAGACCTAATTGCCTGAGTTAGGAAAACTGTGACTTTATAATTCTTCATATTACCTCAAAGCTAAAAGTACTAACGAAGCAGGCGGGAGAATGATCCTTCTGCTGCTACTGTGTTCCTACCGATAAAATACAAGTTTATTTCTTTGAAAAAAGACTTATGTTTAACTTGCGTCTTGACATTTGCTAGCCCTGAGGAGGGTATGGAGTACAAGTGGGGGGTAAAGCATGCGTAGATGGGTGGTAAGCGTTCTGGTGGAGACTGAAGTGGGCTGCTCTAGAGGGTGGTTATGTTTTTCCCTTATTTTGTGTGAGAAAAGAATGGAGGGTTTGTGCTCTTTGGCCAATGTTGATGAAGTGTGACAAATAGTTTGGGTTAGCTGATGCTAGATCTCAAGAGCTGACAAGCACGCAGTTATCTTTTGGTGGGTTTCTGTTCAGCTGGGTGGGCAGCGAGCTGCTGTACTAAGGAGACCGACAGTAAGGAGGGACAGAAGGAATATGGCAGCGTTTTCTGCTAAGCTGTTTGGTTTCAGGAGCCTCTGTCATAGCTGGTACAGCGCTTGAAGTACTCTGACTGGAAAATGGTCGTCTGCCATCTTCAAGTAAGGGGGAAAACTTTTTGTTCTTTACTGTGTTCTGTGTGATATTTTGAGAGGCGTTTTATTACATTTGCAAAGTAGAATTTATTTTGTTTGAAAATCAGGCAGATAATTCTTTCATTCTGTAGAGCACGGTTAGGCTCAGCTGGAGTGCTCCTGGTTTGTGTGGGCTAGCCGATTCCCAAGTGCTGCGAGGGGGGAGAGGGAGGAAGGAATGGAGGAAAAACTCCATCTGTTTTCATTCTGGTTTCTTCTTGGAAAAAAGGCTAATACTGTTCAGTGTAGCTAACTGCATCTTGTCCTCTGGATGCTTCTAGAAAACAGCTGTTCCAGTTGGTCTTGGATACTCCACTGATTTCATCTCCACTGGCCTGTAGCAGGCATTCACCTGGCAAAGACCATGTTAGGAGTCCTGTTTCTTGCCCAGTTTTAAAAGAAGAGGTGCCAGTGATTGACAGTTTCTTGAGAAAGCAAAGAGTTTGCACCTTGACAAAAACAGATGGCCTGGCAGGAACAGATCAGAAGATTTTCAAAACTGCGGAACACCATAACCTTTCTAGCAGCTCTGCAGAGATTGATGGTAAAGACAATGAAGTGGGATCACAAGAGAGCCCTGAGTGCACCAGAAGTCATGAAAAGCCTTCTACATCTATGGTAAAAGTAGTCAAGAAAGGTGAGATGCTTTATTTTTGGTTTGTCCTGTTCTGTTCCCCAAGTCCGTGATTGTGGTTGGCTGTATGCATTAGAGTACCTTCAGTACACGGCATTCATCTCATTTCTCTGCATTGTTCTGATCTGCATTGGCATGTTCAAATGCTTCCCGTTTAACTGGGCTATGCTTCATTCAGATTACTGCTTATGCGGGACAGCTCTGCTTACAAGCATATTCTTGATGAGGAAGTTTGGGCTGATGCCAAGTAATTAAATGGAGTTCAACGCTTTCAGATTCCTTTGCTTTGAGTAACAACTCTAAAAAGCAATAGTTGCACAACAGACTTACTCAGTAAAAAATGAAGTAATTTTCTCCTTCTTAATGACTAGAGAGACAACATCAACATTCATTCTGCTTTCATATCCTTAAGTAACCAGAAGCAAGGTATTTTATAATGTGTTTGTTATTTGAGGGGTACACCCACAGTCAAAATGATCATGGTTTCAGTTTTGTTAATATTCCTATTCATACACTCTCCAGGAGAAAGTAATCTGCTTTATTCTTCTGTAATTCTACAGTGTTAAGATTAATTTATTTTGAAGCATGAAAATGCTCATTTATACTGATCAACTACAATAAAATGACAGAATCCTCTTAGTTTTGACATGATTGCATCCATCCTTTTGACCCAATTGAAAGCCTAAATTAAAATAAAAGACCATGTAGGAGTAAAACAGTGATTCTCGTTAGTTCATATTTATCTGGTCTTTTGTTTAACAGTTTATTCAACTGGAACTCTGAAGTTCATATCTATTCATTAGCTGGGTAAATACTGCTTAAAGATGTAATACACCCAGAAAAGTAGCTGTATGAAAATGGCATCAACTTAGCCAGAAGTTGCGTTTCCTAGTTTTATGCATCACTAACTTGTGTTAGTGATTTAAAACTCATATGAAATTTTACTGCTCATTTATTCTTGAGCAATTGAAATTTTCACTTGCTTACTGTTTTATGACCTTATTAAATTCTCGAGCATGCATTACCTTGGAATTATTTCCACAAATGCGAAGTAGTTGGTCAAACAATATAAATGAAATACTTGAAATGAGGCAATGCTGAAGTGGTTTTAGTAAGTATCATTTGCTCCTGGGTTAAGAATTGAAATGTTAACTTCAAATACAGTAATAGACTGCTCAGAACTATTGTGTTAATGTTATTGTCCCAACTTTTTTTTTTTTTTAAAACCTTTGGCTAGAATATGATGTCATGGGAGTCAGGAATTGCAAAGCAATGTTACCAGATAACTCAATTCCCACAACATTTCACAGCATTTTCCATTGGTTGTTTTTTGTATGCAGGAAGTCAATTTTGATTTAAAAGACAAACCAGAAAACAACCTATGCAAAATAATACTCGTACTGTTCCTTTAAAGTTAACCTCTTGTTTTTGACAGAATGTGACTGCTAAAGACAAATATTTTAAGTCTGTTTTTGACAGCCTGTACAGGTGATGTTTACAGGTGGTGCTTGAAAACATGATGCAAGGAGAATTCTGAGTTGGGGATGACCATGCTATAGGGTGTTTGTGGGCCTCTGAGCCCAAGTCACAAAATCTAGTTTTCTGTACTAAGAAATGAGTATGAGGCATGGTTGGATGATAGGATTCCTGTGAGGCTGGGTTAACTCATGTATTGACAGTACTTGAGAGCTATCCGAGAACCACAGGTTTGGAACATTGTTAATATGAATAAAGTATGTGCTATACTGTTTTATCAAAATGAAGCAGCTTCCTTTATTTAGGAGTGAAATACTGCAAAAGTGAAAGACATTAGCACAGAGGTATGTTTATATTAGCCCCTACGTTTCTGTGTAGTATGCCTGTTATTCTAGATTTTTTTTAGAGGTTTCATTACATCTGACTGCAGGGAAGATGAGAGCCATTCTGATATTACACAGAGGGAAATAAGTGTCCTGGAATGAAAATGAGAGTGGAAAATGAAGATTCTGGATAGACATGCCAGATCTTTTAGAAAAAGAAACCTGGAATTCTGGATTTTCATTTTCTTCAATCAACAATTAGTTTTCAGATGAAAACATTTGCTCTTTGCTGTGATATACATGCTACTAAATTCCTTCTCCCTTGCTTTTAGTTGAATGTCCTGTTTGTGAGGTTGCTATTCCAGAGCAATATATAAACAAACATCTGGATAGCTGCTTGACAAGAGAAGAGAAGAAGGACAGCCTCAGAAGGTAAGAAACAACTTTGAGAACTTTTATATGCATATAGCTATTTTTCTGCATGGCTGAAATAAATATTAGTTGATGGGTTACAGTACAGTGATTGTGTGTTTGTTGGTTGCCTGCTGTAAAGATCACTTGAAAATCACTGTATAAATGTGATTGTGGTGATTTTTCCCCTCTCAAGAAAGTATGTGGATCGCCAGCAGAATTACTTTTTGGCTTTTAATGGCAAGAAAATACTGGACAATGTTTTAAAGAATTCAACGCAGGGAGTAAAACTTAGTCTGTACATTATCCTCATCAGATTTCTACTCACTAGCATTAAAAATCTATTCAGATAACACTTATTCCCATTTTTCACTTGGTGAATAAATTGCTTACCTCAGTTCAGATGGGCCAAAAGACAATTGCTTTGCTAGCTGTCAAGTTAAAAAATAAAAATTGCACCTTCTTGGTTCTGCTCACTGTGGTTCTTTTCAAGTTGCCCAAGCCAAAGTTGTTTCTGTCAGATCTCAATTTCCACAAGACTAATGCATGCCTTTGACTCTATGCCTCTGCCCTAGAATTTGTCATGGTTGCCACATTCACATCAGAAGAGTAGATTTCAGTTTATTTTACTTACTAGCATAAATTTAGGCCATTATTATTTCTAACTGATCAGACTTAAGAACTGTGAGGGACTTCTGCTGCATGTGATTTTACTGCATGCTTGTATTTCCAATTCCTCTGAACCTTGAATTAGAAAGTAATTTTACGTTAAAGCTGTTACGTTGCCCAGTCATGCTTAGAATGCAGTCTATAAGCTAAAGGACTTTGAAGATGAATAAATGGTAAATGAATATTGAAATCTGATGTTACATTTTAATTTTCATTTGGGATATTTTTAGTGTTTTTTCTGTTCTTAATGAATGGAAATAAAAGCCAGATCTTTCTTTGGTGTCAAGCCCATGTCCCTAACAGAATTTAAAATTTTGCTTATTTTATCTAGACTGCTTGGATCTTAAGAAATTATCACGCAAGATACATCTTCTTAGGGACTGGCTATTATGTATTAAATGCTGGCTTTTTGTTGATGTATTTACTTTATGGCAGTGTTGTTCGGGCTTCAGTAACAGCACATCTCTAGTTCTTCTCCGAGGAATTGTAGCTCTGTTTATTCTGAAATTAGGAGCGCATGGCATGCTACGTTAACAGTTGAGCAGTTATTTCAGTAGAACTGATAATTTAGGCCCCAAAACCTGCACAGGAGTTATTACAACAGGTAAGTGTATGTTCACAAAGAACATAGCATTTCTCAAGGCTGGGAGAAAAAACCCACCAACATTAAGATTCAAAACTGTTGTGAACTGTTTTCATGTAGCTGTCTGCTCCCAAAGCTGTCATCACTCTTCTAGGTCATGCTGCTGGTGAATTATAATACATACAAAGCTTTTTCAGGTAAAAGATTGAATTAGTCAATGAAAATGTTTATATTTCACAAAGGACTTAATGAAAAAAGCCATTTCCTGAAAAGTGTATTGTGGTAATGCATCTTTTTTTGCTAGCTATGCTACAAGGGCTACATGAGAGTAAATGAATTAATGACAATTTTTGTGTCTTTTTTTTTTTTAACCTTGAAATTTATTTTTAATGTGGTAAGTTGAAAGTGCTGAATACAGTTTTCAAACAAGTCTCTAGCTTTCACAATGGAAAGCTGTTACCCTCTCTAATTCAGAGCAGTGCTGCTGAAGAAAAGTGTCTCTAACTAAATGCTGTTCTTCTGTAACTAATAATTATTTAAGTTGAAGAAGACTCATGAGGCAGTAGATGGATTTCAATACCATTGTTGGCTACTTTGAGTGTATTTCACCAGGAGGTGTAGGGAAGACTGAACTAATTTGTGCAGAAGGAAACTGTTTTGCTAATTTTAGATTACAAAAGTTGTAGTAGTTGAATTTTCTATGGCAGTTTTGTGTAATTAAATGTTTTCCCTAGTTATTGAGTTCTTCTGACATAAGGCAGTGTGAAGGAATAAATCTTGGTCTTAGATGTTATTCATCCAACAGCACTATTAATTCGCTTTAATGTAATTTTCTGTATTACCAAACTACCCTTCTGTTACATGGGAGCTACAGATTTGCTTTCAGGTACATGACTGTATCTTTCTGAGGAAATGACTTTTGAGAAAGCTGAAAAATCTCCTAATTCAAGTTTTGGCTTGCGGTTTTAATGCTTTTAAAACTTCATGAACTGATTCCAGTAAGACATGGCTGGTACTTGGGTGGAACTTAGTGGAAACACTTGCTGTGTTTCAGCAGTCTGAATGCAGTACGCTTCCTTTTGAATTCAGAGTGAATGTAGGCTTGATCCCAATGAAGATGATCAGCAAACACAAAATGCTGTTTGCTGATGTGATTCTGAAGCCTTTGCTGTAGATGTTAAAAACTGAGCCACAGTACTTGTTACATGAGCAGTAGTGTTGCATCATTTCCTAAAGAAAATCAGAGTAGACCTATTGTTTTCTGCATATTTGAAATTTTCCTTGTGGTAGATGGAAAAGGTGTTCTGGCTTCCTTGAGCTGTTGCGCCTATGATACCCTGTGTAATTGGTTGTGTGTCTGTCATGGCTGAAATGATTCTTTCAAGTATTTCTTACCCAGAGCGGGTGAAATGCCCTGTACAAATCTAAGTCAATATTTAGTTTCTTAGTAGGTGTATTAATTTAGAAAAAGTTTGTTTCCTTTTCCTTTTGCAGTTCTGCTCACAAAAGGAAGCCTATGTCTAAAGTTGTTTACAACTTGCTCTCTGATCGTGAGTTGAAGAAGAAACTAAAGGAACATGGTCTGTCTACCCACGGAACCCGACAACAGCTTATTAAGAGACACCAAGAGTTTGTGCACATGTATAATGCTCAATGTGATTCTCTAAACCCCAAATCAGGTAATGAAAAATGTTCTGGGGTTTTATTGACTTTGCATTTTAACGAGTGCCTCCAAATTAAACTCTGAGGCTTTTAGTAAAAAAATTAGAAGTGCCTGAGGTTCTTAGTAAGTGAATTGATTATTAATTTATCTTTTGTACTGAATTTGTTGTCTTCCTTCCATACACTGAAACTTCTACGTTTTTATTAGATTTAATTTCAAAATCAGGTTTCTTTTTGGAGATGATAGGTAGGGTAGAATGAATTAATAAAGAAATGTTAATGTTTTGCTGGAGTTTATATCAATTTAGGTGTCTTGCAGCAATTTTATAAAATTAAACCCAGACTATATGTAGCATTAAACAGCTGTATGGGATAAGAGGAGTGTGTTTTAGTCTCTAATGTGAGTGCAATATAAACTTCCTTTAAACAGCAGTCTGTTTGCATGTGCTCAGGCTTAATGCTCGGAAAGCGCCGGGGCTGGGACAAGGAGGGTGAGATCAGAGTGGGGTGTTTGGGCTGCCTGGTTTTGTAGGCAGTGTGGCCATTTTTTAGGTTTTTGAATAGCGTGTATGAGCTAGAAGGGCAACTGTCCCAGCTCATCTTGTTACATTCTATTTTATACACGATGAAAACATGCATCTTTTTTAAAGACGGGTCACCTGTCATCTCTCAGTTTGGTTCTGCAAGTGGTACAAGTAACAGCACAAATACACAGGCGTGTGTGGGTGAGAAGCAGACATCAGATTTATAGTGGTGTGGGTTTTTTTTTTAATTTGATTAGAAGCTTATGGCAAACAGGCCCTTTAAAGGAATTTCTAACAGGATCATGTTCTGATATTACTCTCCTGGGAGCCGCACAGCCATTAGTGTCCTAGAAATTCTCATATAGCTGGTGGTGTGTTTTCTGCGCTGGTTTCAGGATGTTGCTTGCTGTCTGCTAGGTCTGTAGGGTAGGTCAGGCCTGCTGCTGGCAAGAGCTGGTTGTAGTTACTTCAAACTAGAGAGATGAGAAATATTGTTCCTCACCCTCGGTTTGATCTCTTTAATTTTCACGTTCACAGAGATTTAAGTCCTGAAGCACAAGTTCACCATTTCTTCCAGAGGTTGTTAATGATTCTGAATGTTGTTGTGTGTGCTGAAGGGCTCAGAAACTATTTGGAGCAGATGAGTTTTTTGCCTCGCTGGCAGCGGGGCTGTCAGGAGCCGAATGAGCAGGCGGGCCAGGGCAGCGCAGTGAGCTGGGAGCTGCTGGGGCACCGCTGGGTGCAGCGTCCCCGCGGCACAGGTCGCGCACCGCTGCCGGCACACAGCCAAACTTTACATTTGCGATTTGTTGCTTAAGTGTAACAGGAATACTTCGGGGCTGAGAGTGAGAAGTGTCCTTTGAGAAGGCTGCCAAATTTAAACAGTAAAAAACACTTAATTCGTCAGTTATGATTTAACAAATTTGACAGTATGGGGGAGTTTTTATTTCAAGTGAATATTAAAAGCTCATATGTTAACTCCAAGTACGTGTGGTCTTCTGTGTGATCAGACAGTTGCAAATGCCAAATATCTGCAACTTCTACCATAGCATTTCAAAAATAAAATGGTTTTTGGTGTTAAACTCCTTTATTAAACAGGCAGTACCACCATTGTTGAGAAATAAAAGTTAGTCACTGAAGAACATGAATATGAATTTAGCAGCCAAACTTTAGGCTCCTGCTTTTGAGATCTTAATTTCACTTGCCAGCTCTTGGCTTGCATTGTGGGAGTGAGTGTATGAGAAAAGCAAGTTTGCAACCAGCAGTATTCACTTTTTCATTTTGCTCCTTTAGCCATTTTAAGAATTTGACTAAGAAGGGTAAGTGCCCAAGTGATTTAGGTGCCAAGTGTCACTGCTTGGTTTGTGCCTAAGCACTTCTGAAAATAAAACATAAATTCTTTCAAAAATTGTTTTCTAGGACTTCAGGAAGTCTCTGGGATGAGAACTAGCACACACAGTTAAGATTGTGTTTGACTTCAGCAACGATAGAAGTTTAGGAAGTTTGTTGTTTCATTCTGAGAACAGCACTTGTATCAGAATGTCAATCACCATATGATTTATGTTAATTTTGGAAATTTAATTAAACACTCTCAAAGTCCCTCTCAGAGTTCCCCCAGGGGCGGGAGTAGATGTGAAGCTGCTGTAGGTCGTGGATGTATGCCGTTGTCTGATAGCTAAACAGGAGCGGAGCCGTTTCGAAGCAGAAGTGAGGAGTGGACTGGCTGGGAGCTGCGGCAGCTCTGGGTGAGGGGAGAGGAAGGGTCGCGGCGTTGGGGTTGCGCTGCTGCCATTATGCTGTAGCAAGGTCGGCCTGAGAGGTGGATGCCGGTTCTTCTGGAGCCTCGGGTCTGCTCAAGGCGTGCTGGAACCAAGATGTGCCGTGCCGGCCCATCCCTGTTAGCCCTTGAAGTGCCGGGAGGTCCTCGGCCTCTGGGGTGATTCTTCGCTTGCTGGTGATGAAGCAGCACCAAGTCCCTGCCCGTGCCGTTCGTCCACGCTAGCTAAATGAGGAGTTCCAGAGTGTGCTACAGCGTACTTCAGCTGTCCGAAATAATGCAAAACTTCTATTGAGGTCTGGCTCAATACCTATTTGTAAAGGGTGAATTATTAAACTAGCACTTAAGATGCAGACATGCATTTTCCGTGGTAGCAGTGAGCCTAAGGTCACTACATAATACTAACAGCTGAGCTTCTGAGGAGGCATAGCTGCCAAATTTCTGGGTTTTGCTTAAACCAGTTTTGAACAGGTTTTATTCTTTCACAGCCTAGTAAGCTTCTTGTTCTCTGGTTACTTTACTGTCTAGTGAAAGCATTTGTTTTAATAAATAACCATAGCTACCTAGTAGCTCTGTGAAAATGATTAAGTGTAGAAACAGATTTGTAAAGGTAAATGTCAAAATAAACTGTGCAGGGTCCTGCATAGCTGTAGTTTTAGTTAAAATGTTAATGTACACAGTTATGTCTGTTTATATGCTTTTGAGGTATCTGACTTAATCATTAGAGTAGGTTGTAATTCATCTTTGGAGCATGGCTTTTGCATATAAGCCTGCAGGCAGTTTTGTGTAGCCTTGGAAAGTAGTCCTTGGAGGTAAAAATAAGATAAACAGTAGATGTCATTATTGTATCTTCTGTTTAAAGATACATTATAAAATGGAAACTCTTTTATAAAGAAGACAGGCCCGTGCACCACAGAAATGCTATAATATGCTAGAGTAAGATGTAAATATGATTGAAAAAGGCTACATTTTCCCATGAATTTAATACAAAGGAAACGAGAGCAACAACCCAGGAGGTGGCCAAGAGCCAGCTGCCGGCAAGCACCGTGAGGCTTGCTGCAAGGCGCCTGGGCCAAGGCCCGCGGCTCCCGACCTTGCCTCCTGGTCCCGAGCCTTGGGCCCTGCCTCTGCTGCTCAGCCGCTGCAGGTGGGAACGGTTCCTCTGCATTAACAAACGGCCGCGGAGCACTGGTGTAAAACCATGCCGTTTGGGCTTGCCTGTGATTGGAGTCAGAGTTTTCGCTGTTGGAGAGCTAATGCCAGTTTGTCTCCTTGTGATTTAAATTCATGGTAGTTTCATTCAGTGCTGTTACGTCTTTTTCTGTAACCGGTCCTGTTTCAGTCATCTCTTTCTTATATTTTCAAACAGTTGCAGATGTTGTTAAAGAGCTGGAAAAGAATGAGAAGATTCGGGTTCAACTTGATTTTAATAAAACCGGTGAAAATGTAAGCTAATTATCTTTGTTTTCAAAGGGGGAGATGGCTAGGAGAAATTGCGGAGTGAGCATGTTTGCCTATCACTTTACTATGGGAATTACCAAAATTCCCAGGTTGCATGTTGGAATTCATATGTACCATCTTATAATCAACATCATTTTCTCATACCACTCATTTGTCATTTGTGTACTGCTGATGTTTCTATGCGTAAACCATTTAAATATGAGCATTTTTTTGATTGCAATAAAAATTCTTGAGAAATGTTCCCCTTGGTCATACCGGAGGATTTTGACCCTCCATGGCATTGTGGGGAATATTTTGCTTCCTAGAATTCTCTAGGATTTAGCTAGCAAATTCCTTGCTTCCGTATCAGCAATAGCGCCTGTTCTTTTCCCATGACATACGATACTTTTGCGACTTTTGGAGCATGTTTGTTGCATAGTATTAGGAAGTATTTTATGATCCATGCATGCTGGGTGTTATATGGGGTGGCTTCGCTTAGTCCTGTTGACTTTATGAAAGCAAAGCGAGACAGCACGTATATGTATTTTACATATATATTACTGTCTGCAGATGAGATGGTAAGAGCTGGTGGGGGAACAACGGACAGCTGCTCCTTCTTACAGTTTTAAGTCTCTAGTTTTAAAGTATGCAGCTTTATCATCTTTTCTTTCTGTAAATAAGCACTTGTGTGATTTCTGTAGAGCTTGACTTTTACAAAGGACCAGACAGAGGAAGAGATAGATGAGATCCATGCTGATTATCGTAAGTAATATGCAAGTTTTACGTTGTTTTGCTTTTAAATTGAGCTTCTTTTCCTTTGTACTGAAATATACACACAAAAGTGACATTTTTCATGTGTGTGTGCTTCCCCCAACCCCCATACATTAAATCTGGAAGTTCTTTGTTTGGGCTGAAACTTCCTCTTTGAAACTCAGTCTCTATTAAGTACTGATGTTTGACAGAACTCACTGCCACGGCAGGATAAGATTGAGATGGAAGCTGAGTGCCTGCGTAGCGCATCTCCATTTTCTGCACTTTCTACTTGCCATCTTAATGGTCCTCCGATGTTTGTTGCACATAAAGAACAGCAAAGCAGAGTTTCTGTCTCCCACACTGCATGTGCGATGTGTAGTTGTGCTGTTTCACTGCGAGCCCTCGGGTGGAAATCAGGTGCAGAGCTTCCCTGAAAGCACGCTCTGAGGCCCCAGCGGCGCTGGGCGTGCATGGCGGCCGGATCCTGTCCAGCTGCCTGGGCCGCTGGCTGGCGCGTGGAGGGGCAGCTCTGTTTCGGTGTCCTGCTCTGCATGAGACTCTTCACGCAGTCCTTCGGGTGCAGGTTTGGGAGAACGGAAGTGCAGTTGTGACTGTGGTGAAAGTTGTTCATGCTTTGCTTGTGAGATTTCACCCTTTCTCCCCACAGATTTTTTGGCATGTTCTCTGAGAATAATCTGAATTACTCAAGGAGGTTCATGTAAATTAATTAGTTTGCCAGTTCTATACTTTGTTAAAACTGGGGCTTGCAGCATATGAATCTGTGTGTATTAAATCACTCACTGATTGAAAAAAAGGAGCTTATTACCTACTGCTGTGCCCCTGCAAACAATGGCATGCGCTCCTGAGTGTTTCTATACATACAGAATTTCCTCAGCTTCGGGTTTGATACTGTTTTCTCCCTTCTTTGAGGTTCTTGGCACTGTATGACTTCGGCTCTGCAGGCGGGTCTGCTGTCTGTGAGCCCTCCAGGAGCACCGGCCTGGCTCAGGGCCACTCCAGAGGGAGGCGTCTCTGCCAACACGGAGTGTGCTGAATGCTGGCTGTCTTGGCCCTGCACTCACCAGTATACCCAGTAACACAGATACTGGGTTTTCCCATTACTGAGCATATTCCCTCCTCCCCGACACCCTTAATGAGGGGAAATTGGCTTGCTTTAAAAATGCACCTGTTTTCTGGGTGGTGGCTGGTCTTCCCAAGCCCTCCAGCTCATCCTGTAGCAGATAGGTTTGTATATGTTTACTCTTTCTATACCTTATTTTTCTAGGTTTGCTGTCTAATGCAGAGTGACATTAAATGACGAGCCACTAGTAGTTTATATTTATTACGGCATCTCTAAAATACTTTAGGGCTGCATGTTTCCTCAATGGTGTGTTTTTCACACTTCTGTAGTTGTCAGTGGCCCTTCCTGCTAAAAAGTATGTTTTAACTGAGACGAAAATGCTTTTTCCATGTTTTATTTGTATACTGTGGTTCTCAAATCATCCAGGACTTCACAGCGCTCCTCATATTCACTCCCTTCCTTCATATCCCTCTCCACAAGCATCGCATGTTCCTGTCTCCTCCCTGCATCCTTTTAGACTTTCCTCTCCTGTCCAGCCCTGTTTTTTGAAGCGATCTTTTAAAAAGACTTTTTTAAAAATCTTTTTAAAAAAACTCTGCTCATTTGATTGACCTCTTCCCCTTCATCCTGTGCAGGCAACTGGAATTCAGTGCAAACTGGGTGACTTTTTTCCTGGTTTTGTTGTTCCTGTTTAATTTTTTTATACTGGGTCCCCATTGTTTGTACAAGAGACCAGTGCCTGTGTCGGTTATTAAACCTGCTTCTGCCCTGACAGAATAAGAGCATTTGTTTTGAGAAGTGTAACTGGAATAACTATTTGAGGGAAAGAAGAGAAGAGATAACAAATAAGAAAAATATCATAGGGAGAGCTATAGTTCAACGCTACAATTTTGTGGTGGATTTTGCAGGGCGGTTGTTTGGTGTTTGTTTTGTTTTGTTTTTTCCCCAGCAGAGGACTCATTCCTGCTTAACCTGACCCTGGGAAAGGACAGTATTTTAAACTGTGTTTCTCCATACTGTGTGCTTAAACCTGAGAACAGTGTTTTCTTTCTTTGTGAAACCATCTAATCATCTTTATGGTTAGTTTAGAAGCAAACGTTCTTGTGAGAGTTAAAGATTGCAGGACTTGCACCCTGTTGTATTAATTTAGTACAGAAATGGCTAATGTCAACTGATTTTTATAGATTACTTCCTGACTCTTTGTGTGTTTGTGTGCACAAAGCATTACGTTGTACTTGGGTCCCTAGTGGTGTTTTATATTCACATTCTTTTCTGTTGTTTCCCACTCACTTCGCTTCACCTGTGCTCTGCTTGCACACTCAACCATGGTAGTTAGCCATGTAATGCTAAAACAATATTCAATGAACATTAAACTGCTCTGCCTTCAGCCACAGAGGAGCAAGGCAATGAAGGGACAACTTGTTCTGATTAAACTTAAGGGTGTATTTAAATCTGCAATATGGTCATATTTCCTGTGTTTCCTTGTGTTGCTTCAGGCACATAAATTATTCCATAATGCAGCTAGATTTAGCCTTGTTGATTTTAGTTGGGTTTCTGTGAAGGCTAAATAAGGGCCTAAATCTTTAGCAAATTTTTCCCTTGCTTTTTGTTTCTGTTCCTGAGAATATATTTTTTTTTTTTTATTGAACATTTAAAAGTCTGAAAACAAAAAAAAAAGAGAGGGGAAAAAAAAGAGAAGGTAGAAAAATATTTTAATGGGAACATGTGGTTTTAAAATTAATAAAAAATATGACCAAAGAGGTAAATCATAACTAGTTTCAGCAAATTACTTATAAAAGCAAAAGGGAGAAATAAGCATGAAAAAAGAATTGTATATTAAAATTAGAGGACAGTTAGAGATTAAAACAATGTTTATTAAATGCCTTTTTTTCCACTGTAGCACAGATGGACTTTAAAAAGCTTTATTATACAATGAAGGGTTTGTTTTTTTTTCTTCGAGTTTACAACATTTGCACTCTAGGTCCCTAATTCACAGATGGATTAATTAACTCTGGCATAAGTTTTGAATTAAAAAAACTCAGCCATATACTTTTTGTTCTGTATCTTCATATGAAACACACAACACAGCGGAGCTGTGTAACAGCCTTGTTAAAAAGCAAGACAAAACAGCTGTCATAAACCCCTTTTTTTCCTTCTTACCTTCTTTACAATTTTCTGACCTCTTAGCAAACTGCTAATTGCACTGTTGGTATTTTTTTTTGCCTTTTTTGTGTGTGAAATGTTTTTGAAATACCAATTAATATCTTGGCTTGGTGAAGCTCAGGACGGTTTATACGCTAGCTGGAAGCTCTGCTTGAGTCCGTGCCTGGAAGGTGCAGTTACAGACGCTGTTCCCTGCAGCAGCTTCTGTCTGCTCCTGGGGAGCTGGGTGACACCCGCAGCCTGGCGTCAGTCTCGTTCTGCTTTTTTCGTGGTCAGGCCTCTATTTAAAGAGTTAAAAAAATCTACATGAAAAGAAATACATTTGTTCAAAAAATTTTATTCTGCTGCTCTTTATTTTTATATATCTTTTAATTTGCAGTATTATTCAGAGGCTTACTGATCCATGTTTTGTGTTTTAAATATTTGAAGTTACATCTGCGGTTGTTTTACTATTGAAATGCCTGTAGTTTTGTGAAATGTGCATAGTGTGTTGTTTCAGCGCAGTGGTGGTTTACAGTGTGTGTGACTAGTGCCTTGCTTTGCCAGGACATTTCTTTTTTACTTGAAAAGCTTTGTAGTTACACCATGAAACAAAACAACAAAAAATAGTAATACTGGAAAAACCGAAGTGCCAAAGGAATTACGTAATGAATGCGCAGCGGCTCAAACACAAGCATCTGGGACAAGAACTTCCTCTTCATTAAAGGAGTTGTTGACCTTATGTGGCGTTTTCAGCTACGCGAGGAGAGGGAGAGCCGGTTTTAAATCCGTTTCCTTCTGCAGGACAGAACTTGATAGGATTTTATCTTGGCTTCCACCTGTCCTGTCACCACAGCAGGACGTAGGTCGGGGTTAGTGCAGTGGTTATTTAAACCTGCCGTACCCCAGCAGCGCTCGGCAAGGGGTGTCCGCTCCTCGAGGCGCTGGACCACACATCTCCACCGCCGCACGTGCCCTGGGCTGGTGCCCTGGCCCTGCCGAGCAGGATGCGGAGGCCAAGCGTGGGGGTGGGGGAGGAGGTCAGGGCTGTTGGCAGGGGAAGCCAGACCCCGCCGTCGAGCCAGGGCCGGGAGGGATGGGGGGTGTGGGGAGCAGGAAGGGAAGAAGATGGAGAACTACCGGTGCACGCGGAGGAGTGCGGGGTGACGGGGAGGTGTGGGTTGGGAATGCGGGGAGTGCCCCTGCTGCGGCTGCGGGGCAGGGCGGGCTTGCTCCGGCCTCTCCCTGCCCGCGGAGGAAAAGGTGGTTCAGAGGCTGATTTGAAAAAAGAAGACAAAAGCAAACAAATAAAGAAGTTATGAGGCAGTTCTTTGCTTCAGCTGGGCTCAAAGTTGATTTCCAAGTACACCGATTCACCAGGACATTTGCTTTGCCGTCCTAAGACGTTGCTGTCGGCACT